AATTACAACCTCTGCCAGTTTTAGATCTTTTTACTATTCTAAAATTATTTTTGGGGAAAATAATCTCTCCTGTAAAATACCAATCAGATGCGTCAGATTTATCATGCATCTTTGAATAAATAACCTGGAAAGTTTGAGCATTGAATCCAAATAATCTCATGTCTTGTCTATATTTCCCCACTTCATATATTTGACCATTTATTTCAATTGGACCTTTAATTTTAAAATCCTTAAATAGAATAGTTATTCTCTTGATTAATTCTGAAAAAAGCATATTTGTGGTTGATATTTTAATTTCATTTTCCTCTTCTTTAAGAATTTCGGCTGTCCTATCAACTAGATATTTAAATTTTTCTTCATCTTCTTCGTCAAATTTACGCGAAATTATGTATTGCCTTGAATATCCTTGAAAAAAGTGTTTTAGATAGAGGTTTGTTTAAATTTCCAATTTTATCCATTCTTTTTTTTTTATGTATCTATAGGAATTTTTAACTTTTATTGATGATATTTCTACATCAAATTTATCTAAAATTTCATTGAATTTTTCTAATTCTTCAACTGTTATGTTCTTGTCTTCTCTCGATCTTTCGAAAAAAATGAATAATTTATTAAGATATGTATTTAAAATTTCTGTTTTCTTTTTATAATGAGCTTTCTGTTTTGATGTAAAACCTAAAGTAATCAAACCACAAGATGAAGTTTGAACGGCAGTGAACGCGGCTAATACAGTTGGGACAATTATTGGAAGCATTAATCCACCGGTTACGGCTGTTGCCACCGTTATTCCTACTGTTAAAACTGTACTTCATGTTTTGAAAACAGAATCAATTCTACTCCATGATTTTTTGCATTTGTTGAATTGTTTTAGTTTTTCTTTTAGTTCGTTTTGTTTTTCTATCATATATTGTTGTCTACTTTCGAGTTCCATTTTTTAGGTAATTAAATTAAATGAATTTCAGATAAAGCAAAAGATGGAAAGCGTTTAACATCTACAATAGTTCCATCATGGACTATTTTTTCATTATCTGTTATAATAAAAACTTCTACACTTACTAAAGATATTTGTTCTTTTGAATCATTAATCTTATTTAGATGAACTGAAAATTTTAGTTTTTCGATATTGATTCTTATTTTACATCTACAGGTATATATACCTACAACTTTTTCAATAATTGATGAAAATATTATAAATTCTTTATCTTGTTGACTTTTATGAATATCGACTGAGGTAAATAAATCATTATTAACAAAATATAGTTTTACGTATTCAAAGTCTGTCGTTCGTAAAAACTCATAAGTGTTTGTTTCTTTTTGTGGTTCTGGATTTCTAATAATATTCATTGATGGTCGAGTTTCCGTTTCCAATATCATATCAAAATCTCTCAATATAAATTGATCTTCTTCTTTAACTGGTATGAATAACATTCTAAACCTATCTATATATTTTCCACTCGTTTTAATTTCATATAAGTGATTAACCTTGGTGTTTTCGTCGTTAATTTCTAATTCTTTAGTTTCTACATTTTTTGTGCCATTGATAATCTGAAGAACTTTACGAGCGTTAAATTTTTTATTTAATGAAAAATGTGATTGTTGTTTGAAGAATAATGAATCAACTTTTACCTGTATAGGAAATGTTATTGCAATTGTAAGTTTTCCTCGAAAAATAAAAGGTATTGAATAAAAACCAACATCTGAATCAAAAATATATTGTGGTTGATCACCTGAAAGAGAATATACTCTAATATTTGCTGTAAATCCATATTTTTTAAATTCATAGTCTTTTGATCTATCAATATTATCAGTAATAGAAGTATTGTAATCTCTCAAATTTCCAAATGGAAGATTGAAATAATATGATTCTTTCTTGAGAAACTTTTTTTCTAATGCGACTATATTTTTATCCTGTTTCAAAACTAGGTTATTAATAGTGTTTATCTGTTGTTGAATAACACTATCATCAATGTTCTGTATTTGTTGATGAATGTAGGTTTTGATTTCGCTATCATCTATGTTTTGTATTTGTTGTTGAATATACGTTTTGATTTCGCTATCATCTATGTTTTGTATTTGTTTTTTAATATTTGTTAGTTCTTTTTGTAATTCACTGTTAAGTTAAGTTTCTAGAGCATTTAATTCCTGTTGAAACGTATCTTCATTTTCATCTGGAATGTTATCTATGTCTAATTTTTGTTTTGCAATCTTATCCTCTAATTTAGATATTAATGAAATTAAATTTTGTAACTCAGTTTTATTCGCTACGTTGACCAATTCTTTTTGAATAAAACTTATTAATCTTTTTACCTCTTGTTGTAGTTTAGTATCATTAACAAAATTTTTATTATTTAGTTGAATTTTGAAGAATCTTTTCACATTACTTATTTTATCTTCTAAATGGTTTTTATTTACTTCAATTGAATTTATTTGTTCCCGTAAATATTTCTTGTGAACAGCGTCATTATCGTTTTCCGGAGATTTTAAATTAGTTATGGTAAAATTGTTCATATCTAAATCACCTTGAAGAGTGTCTCCGATTTGATCCACAAAGTAAGGTTTCGCTTTATTTATCCACGCTGTAGTGTTAGGTTTTTTAGTTTCTAAAGATAAAGAACCTAAGCCATTTTTATTACAATTTCTTCGAATTGTTTTCCTAAACTCAACTGATATAAAACCCAAAGTGAAAGCTGACCACAAAACTTTTGTCCCGGTAATTGAATTTGAAAGGAAGAACATTTGATTGGTTTATTAGTCAATTGGATTATCTCTTCAGTGGGTTCTAATCCATAAGAATCGAAGAAATATAAGTCAGAGTCTTTGTACAAAGCAAAATGATGAACTCCTTTTTGATCGGAAGTATGTATATTTGTTATCGCGTAAAATTTACCTTTCTTATATTTCAGATCATTTATTTCATCTCTCATACAATAATAAAACAGTGATATATTTAACTCATTCGCCCATCTCATAAGTTGAAAGTTTGTGGTTGTATCGGTTCCATATTTATCGAGAAATTCATTCATTTTTAAAAGTCGGTTTTTTTGAGGAGTATTGTTGAAATATATACGTAGTTTGTGTTTGAAAAAAATTGTATAACATTCTGATAAAACACATTCAATAATATTTTGAACATAAATTTGCTTTTAAATTTAAATTTAAGAAAGCGTAAATACTTGTCTACATCTCTTAATCTTCTATCAAATTCTTCATCTTCGAGAAATTCATTCATTTTTAAAAGTCGGTTTTTTGAAGTTCATTTTGATAAAACCTTCCTATGATTTGTTCTTTGTCTTGATCGATTAATTCTTATGTTGGAGGTGATGTGCTGTTTACTTTATCAACGATGAATATTTCTTTCGTCCAGTATCCAACGTAACCTTTTTCGAATTTGCTTTTATATTTGAAAATACGAACTCGATCTCCGACTTTAAATTTGGGTTTGATATTTAAATTCTTTATTTCATTTTCGTAGTTATGTTTTTGAGATTTCAATTCTGTGAACTTTTTGAATAATTTATTTTTTAGAGTTCTATTATATCTCTCTCAATAACTACATCTTTACCTTCATTATGCGTACTGTAAATTTCAAATCCCAGAGATTTCATATTTTTTTTTATAAAATTCACTTCCTTTATCTACCCACAGTTTTTCTGGATGTCGGTTGGATTGTTTTATAATCGTTTCAAATGCGTGTTTGACTGATAATCCTGTTTTGTTTTTCAAAGGAATAACCCAAGCATATCTCGTATACAAATCTATAACTGTTAAGCAATATTTAAATCCTCTTTCGACTGGCATATGAATTAAATCGGCTGACCATATTTCATCTTTTTCAAACACTTTTACTTTTAAAAAGTTTTTAGTTTTTCTAAATTCTTTATGAATTTCATCCGCTAATCCCATACCTAATTTCATCTTTGCTTTTAACAGTTTTATGATTAGAGCCGTTTGCATTCTCTCTTTGAAAGTTGGATTTGGAATATTTTCAAGTTCGATTATCATTTGTCTGTCTGCTTTGTGTCTGAAGTTTATGTCTTTATTTCTGTATAGTATGTCGTGTTTAAGCGCAGCAGCGTCAACTCTATTGACTGGCTCTTCCCCCTAGTACCGGGACCGGTGTAATTATGACCGGGGAGATGTTTTTCTCCGGGATATTTCGCCCATGGAAATCCAGGAAGAGAACCCAATGATTTTTGAATATCTCCTGAACCGAAATAAGTTTTTGGAGCGTGAGCGACTATCATTTTTATCCTATAACTTTAAAACCTTTTCCTTTCCTTTCTTCTAATCTCCTGTTTCGAAGTTCTCTTATTAGCTGTAATTCTTTCAACTCGTTAGATTGTTTCACTGCGTCGCTTATACTCTTTCCCGCTTGCGCGATTGAGCCGACGGCTTTCGCTCCGGTTGAAATGAGTGATTTGTTGTTTGAAACTAAGCTAGCTACTTTTGGAATTATTTTTGAACCTAGAGAAAATATTGATGAAAAGATACCGTCGCCCGAACAATCTTCGAATTTGTGTTGTTCGTGTTTTAGAATTAAACTCATCCTATTTTTAAATGAGTTAATTTAGCGAAGTAATTGTGGTCTGTTTTTTTTTTCCAAAACAAGAGTTATCTCCCTTTTTCTAGAAGTTTCTAGACTAAAAATAACATTATTTAAAACGAGGCTATTAAAAACCGGATGTTAAGCGAAACAAGGATGTTATTTTGTATAAGGGTATTTTTAATATGCTTTTTTTTGATGGAATGTAGGAAATTGATTGAAGGTGTTTTTTTGGTCTTTTTTTAATGTAAGAATTTATGAAATGTAGGATGTTTTATGAAATGTAGGTAATTTAGGTCTTTTTTTGGAAGCTTATACATTGGTCGCATTTTCCCCATGAAATGAAATGGAATGGGAAATCCCTATGCGACCAATGTGTAAGCGCATATACTACTAAGCTTAATCAACTGATAAAGCATGATTTGTCCTCTAAATTGATTAATTATGTGGATTTTTGTAGGCCACTATAAATATAATATTTGATAGAGTGGGTAAAGTTGATCCTGTAACTAGAGGTATTGAAATAGCTGTGAATTATTTCTCTATACAATTTGATGTAAGTATTTATACAATTTGTTGTAAGTTTATATTTAAACAATTTGATGTAAGTATATATACAATTTTATGTAAGTACTTACACAGTTAAATGTAAGTCTTTAATTAAACAATTTGATGTAAGTATTTATACATTTTGATGTACTTACACAGTTTAAGTATATATACAATTCGATGTTTACAAGTATTTATACAATTTGATTTAAGTACTTACACACTCATGCATGCGTGCCTGATCATTATGAAGTAGAACAAAATTACATATCAGATATAGACTCAGATTTCCTATTAAGAGATTTGGTTGTTTGTTTAGACATTAAACATTCCTTATAATTTTATTCCTGTTTGTCTTATCCCAAGGAATATTCATCCTTAGGAATTTTCATCCTTACGAATTTTCCTCCTTAAAATTATTATTTCTTATCAAACACTTTAACACTGGAATATAAATCCCAGGTATATTATTCCTCAGAATCTTCCTAACATATCCGATGTTTATAAAAGCCATTCCATGGGAATATTTTTGTCACTCTTAGTTTCACTGAAGGCCACGTCCGCTGAAACATTTGGGAATAAAACATTTTACTTTCTATGGTTCTGTTGTATCGGTTTGGGGGACTCTTTCCAGAGTATTGATTTGTAGCAGTATGTTCCCCAATGCATCCTGGTGATTCTGATAACAACCCTCCAGTCAGCCATTAATCCAGCTGCCATCTACCTGTACCAGGAGTTCGTTGTTCAACGTCTATAAACTCTAATTTTAGGTGAAGTTTTGGTCTCAACAAATATCATTTTTATTAGTGGGTATAATCATCATTACCTCAATAAGAGGTTTACTTATCACTTTAACAAAGGTAAGTCAACTAAGTTCAAACCAAAAAATACCTTTCCTTATGCTGCAGACAATTTTCAGACAAACGTCTGTGGTTCCTGCAATTCTACTAAAACTAAGTGTTTGATGAAGTCACTAATCAAAAAATATGCTTTATCACATAAGGCCCTTCTCGATTAGGGACACCATCAAACAAGTCGTCATTTTAACATTCAAACGCAGATAATTTCGATGGAGAGCTGTTGACACTATTACTGATTGACCCAGCTAAAAAAATTCCAGTTTCTGAGACTAAAGTATGATCGGTCCATGAAAATGGTGCATCTGTCCCTTTAAGAAACGATATTATTTTTTATTGTAGTTTTTCTATGCAATAGCCAGTAGTAAATCATCTAATGTTATAGTCTTATGTTTAGCTCAAGTTATGGTAAGTAAAAAATTGAGATATTCCCTTTAAAAATAAAAATAAGGAACATAGCTGTATTCATGGTTTCATTAATAAACCAATTGATGTCTATATATCACCAGTCTGAATATGAAAACTATTACTTACAAACCTTAAAACTGGGTTACCAAGATAACGGTAAGAATAATAAAAACTAGACCTTAAAGATGGGTTCCCTTATTTTAATTTATCAAAATGCTAATACTTATATGAATAGAAAGTAGAGGTGTTCTAATGACTTGGAAAAATACCAGTTTGTCTCATATGTCCATGATTAATTTATAATGAGCTAAATTAGAAGACAATTACCAGTAGAATTCCAATGAGTGACCGATCAAGAAAGATCAAAAAGTGTTTTTTGGTTTATCCAGACTGTACATACACAAACATTTGTCATTGGTTAAAACTCTTAATTATATGCAATAAGAACATAATGATTTGATTAAGAATACATGATAATTCATTAGAAACACCAATAAATGAAAAGATTGCTTAATTTGACAATAAAAAATAAGGAAACCCATCTTTAAGGGTTTTGATTTTCAAAAGATTCAACGTTTATTCATTCATATATAGCATATTTTTCAACTTCCAATCCACTCATTTGTTTTAGAAATAAGAATATTTTCAAGATAGCTCTTTATTACATTTTGTAAAGCAGTTGTTCCCAACCTTTTTCAGCCTTCACACCCCCAAAACAATGGACATTCAAAACATTGTAAATTTTATCATTTTTATTCAAATTTATCATGATAATCATACATAATAATGGATATATAATCATACGGCTGAAATAAGATGCTCAGTTGGAAGGTCGTTTCTGTTTTCTTTGGAACCATATAATATCCCAGCTAAAAAATACTTCTCCTACAACAGTTCACCCTAAAGGGTGAAAACACCCCAGGTTGGGAACCGGGGCTGTAAAGGTAATTGCTTTAAGCTTTAAAAAATCACGAGTAATTTATTTGTGTATTCCAGGGAATGTATTTTGTATCTATGATATTATTAATGAGGATGAATATGCCACTGGAATACAGGTAAATTTTATGCCAATTATTCTAGTGAGGTTCAATAGCAGTCAGTTAGTGCGTTGACGTCATTCGTTTGGTTACGTCGAGCAAATGGAGTCCGTGGGTTCATCTTCACTCATAATTCCAGTCGACCAAGCTGTAAATGGGTATGGATAATAAATGACAAGAGGTTTGGCCAAGGACCAGCTGGTAGAAAGGATCCTTAACTGTGAACCTAAGTTGTTAACCTTGAAAAATGAAGTTCTCTCTTTCTTATAAACTTTTCAGAAGTGTGGGTTTAGGTGTAGTCTCTCTTATAGACCAATAAAAGAGTGGGGTTAGGGGAAACTGGGCCAACCTTCGTTTTAGTCTTGGCAATAAATCACAAATGTGCTCTTGAAACATTTTTTGTGCTATAGAGTATCCTCATTTGGATGAACACAAATATTATACACAAAGCTCTTGTATTTTATTGAAGAAATTTCCATGTGGCCATATACAAAAATACACAATTTCATTTAAATTTGCACAATATATAGACACAGCTTTATGGAACAACAATCACTGGTTAAAGTTTTATGCAACGTTTCGATGTGTTTCCCCCGTCGTCCTCGAAACATTGCATAAAACCTGAACCAGTGATTGTTGTTCCATAAAGCTGTGTCTATATATCATACTCACAATCGCTAAATGCCATTCAAAGACTTTAAATTTGCACAATTTTCTAATTTTCAGATCTATAATAACACAAGTATTAGGAGATTTACAGTTTAATTTTTATCATAGATGGTTTGATGTGATATTTCTAGTCAGTGCATTATCTAGTATCTGTTTTTTATACATAGCTCATAAACAATCTCCAGAAAAAAACTTATATTGATGTACTCATAACTTATGCTATTTTAAGTTTGATTAGGGATGGGCAATATACCGGTATCACCTTATATACCAGTAAAGGAATTTATATCGTTGGATTGAAAACTAGCGAAATATTGTCATATTGTGATATATGGTAGTTATCATGATATATCATCAAATTTTCCTCTAGATAAGATCATCTACACAATTTTAACAAGTAACTTAATATTTGAAACAGATGAATTGATTTTTTTAAAGATATTTATTGTGTTTTGTTACATTTAAAATTTTAAGAGAATTAAAAAAAAACCATTTTGTTTCAAAAACCTGTAAAAATCATACTTATTAAATATCGTGATAGATATACCCATATCGTGATATATCCATGCTTTATATTGTGATATCCACTTGATCCAATATCGCCCAGCCCTTTTTTTGTGGCGTATAGGTGTATTTAATGCATCTAGGTTATTGAAATGGAGGTGCATCAGCGCTTGTAAAGTGGCGTGCAAGGAATTTGAAAAGACAACTTATTTGAAAAAAGAAAAAAAAGTAAAATGGTGTAAAATAAGAAAGTGAACCAATGAGCCAATGTATTTTACAGGCATAAATAAATAAAATAATAATGATATTATTAAGTTTCTGATATATTATTACGCCCTCCCATATTCTGACCACAGATTCAATTTTATACATTTATTTTTTGTAAGCGTTTTTCTGTCTGTCTAATGCATTATGTAGGCATATGATATTTAGTGTTGCGCATAAGGAAGCGTAAATATAGAGAATGTTCTGGAAATGAGAATGTTCTGATGTTCTGACAATAAGAAGATTTTAGAATTAAGAATATTCTAGAGAATTCCACAAAGTTCATTGCAGAAGGTTCTTTCACATTCTACAACGTTCTATAGAATTTCTAGAATGTTCTATCGGTTTTCTAGAAAAGTTGAAGTTTTTCATACTTATTTCTTATATAAATTGAGGGATTCGCGACATTTAGAATTTCTCATTTTGTGACATTTGGACTATTGTACATGTTGCCTCTATCATCCAGTCCCTCAGAAATATAGTTTGTACCCCCACTTAATTTCTCAGAAATTTCAACCTTAAAACATTTTTGACTGTTTTGACCAATTCTATTTTTCAAAATTTTTCAGCGCTTCTGCATTTAAAATCTTAGATATAATGGGTTTTATAGAGCTATGTTCAGGAATATCAGACTTCTTCTATTTAGAGCAATTCTTCTATTTCTCTGGCCATTGGTATTTTTTTTAATTTCGAATTTAATCACAAAAACTTAAGGTTGGGGGATAAAAAGATTTCTATATATAGGAAATGACTTCCAAAGTATCTGAAAAATATTCAAATCTCCCACTTATTCCCTGAAGCAATAAATCAATGTTGTTATGATATTACTATAATAAATCATATATTTTTTGTCAAACGATAGAAAATTGCTCAAATTATTTGGAGAAATTAAATAAAAGCTGAAATATCTTAAGCAGGTCAAGCAAGTCAACAGCAATAGATAAATACACATTTCACTTTTATTCTCTAATCCTTAGCTAAGCTGCAGATGATCACTTCCTTGGTAAACTTCATTTTCTATCATCTCAACTGAAAAGAATAATTCAAAATCTTTTAAATAACACACACATAATATATATATAATAACTTAAAATTCTGACTGTTAAAATAGTGCTCAATACATCAACTCTAGAGTGATGTAGTAATACCACTGTTAAAATAGAGTTCAATACATCAATAATTGTAGAGCAATATAGAAATACCACTGCTAAAATAGTGCTCATTTATCAATTGTAGAGTAATATAGTAATACCACTGTTAAAATAGTGCTCAATACATCAATTGTAGAGTGATATAGTAATACCACTATTAAAATAGTGCTCAATACACCAATTGTAGAGCAATACAGTAATACCACTGTTAAAATAGTGCTCAATACATCAATTGTAGAGCAATATAGTAATACCACTGTTAAAATAGTGCTCAATACATCAATAATTGTAGAGTGATATAGTAATACCACTGTTAAAATAGTGCTCAATACATCAATAATTGTATAGCCATATAGTAATACCACTGTTAAAATAGTGCTCAATACATCAATAATTGTAGAGTGATATAGTAATACCACTGTTAAAATAGTGCTCAATACATCAATAATTGTAGAGTGATATAGTAATACCACTGTTAAAATAGTGCTCAATGCATCAATATTTGTAGAGTGATATAGTAATACCACTGTTAAAATAGTGCTCAATACATCAATAATTGTAGAGCGATATAGTAATATAAAAAGCATAGTGTGAAACTGAGTAACAACATGTTTTTTAGGTTATTTTTAAAAAAAAATTTATCGCTCTACAATTTATGTATTTAGCACTATATAACAATGGGAATTTGTTGTTATTATTATCATTCTTATGATATAAATGTTGAAAAAATATTGTGTATAGGCCTATTTCAATAAACCATTTTAAATATGAGATTTACAACAACAAAATGATTGGAATAATAAAAATGCTGAACTTCAAAGCTTACCTTTTGGCAGTGAGTTTTCTTGAACAAAATAATTATCACTGCCAAGATATAAATCATTTTCAATAATTTCCACTGAAAATTAAAATGAGGGCAAGCTAGAAATATATAGTATAACAAATTGAAATAACAGATAATACAACTAGAAATGACTTGTATAACAAACAGAAATAACCGATGATACAACTAGAAATGACTGGTATAACGAACAGAAATAACAGATGATACAACTAGAAATGACCGGTATAACAATCAGAATAACAGATGACACAACTAGAAATGACCGGTATAACAAATAGAAATAACAGATTATATAACTAGAAATGACTGGTATAACAAACAGAAATAACAGATTATATAACTAGAAATGACTGGTATAACAAACAGAAATGACAGATGATACAACTAGAAATGACTGGTATATCAAAACAGAAATGACAGATGATACAACTAGAAATGACTGATATAACAACCAGAAATGACAGATGATACAACTAGAAATGACTGATATAACAACTAGAAATGACAGATGATACAACTAGAAATGACTGATATAACAACCAGAAATGACAGATGATACAACTAGAAATGACTGATATAACAACTAGAAATGACAGATGACACAACTAGAAATGACTGGTATAACAATCAGAAATAACAGATGACACAACTAGAAATGACTGGTATAACAAACAGAAATAACAGATTATATAACTAGAAATGACTGGTATAACAAACAGAAATGACAGATGATACAACTAGAAATGACTGGTATATCAAAACAGAAATGACAGATGATACAAATAGAAATGACTGATATAACAAACAGAAATAACAGATGATACAACTAGAAATGACAGATGATACAACTAGAAATGACTGGTATAACAAACAGAAATGACAGATATACAACTAGAAATGACAGATTATACAACTAGAAATGACTGATATATCAAAACAGAAATAACAGATGATACAACTAGAAATGACTGATATGACAACCAGAAATGACATATGATACAACTAGAAATGACTGCTATAACAACCAGAAATGACAGATATACAACTAGAAATGACAGATGATTCAACTAGAAATGACTGATATATCAAAACAGAAATGACAGATGATACAACTAGAAATGACTGATATAACAACCAGAAATGACAGATGATACAACTAGAAATGACAGATGATACAACTAGAAATGATTGATATAACAACCAGAAATGACAGATGATACAACAAGATATGACATACAGTAAGAATGTATATTTATGGTGTATTTACGACACCAGGCCAGTCCATTGATGAGTAGAATATATTCTTTTTGGCCAAGTTTGAACTTTTTTTTTGTCTACGAGTAATGCAGATTTTCATCTTGTTTTAGTATTTTGTACATTGCTTAAAATGTTGTTATTACGAAATGTGTTACCTACTCATTGATATCTTGTTATCTTGAATGCTTTTCTTGGTAGACGCACTATCATTTCTGTAAGAAAACAAGCAGTTATCGAAAAGTCTAAAAAGACATACACTCAGAAAGCAGCGAATGTCATATTATTATTTATCAATTAACACTCATATAGCCTCAAATTTCATAAACAGTTATCAATTAACACCAATACAGCAACGAATTTCAAAACATTTATCAATTTACACATATACAGCTGCGAATTTTATAAAATTTATCAATTTACACTCATACAGTAGCGAATTTTATAACATTTATCAATTTACATTCATACAGCAGCGAATTTTATAACATTTATCAATTTACACAAATACAGCTGCGAATTTTATAAAATTTATCAATTTACACACATACAGCAGCGAATTTTATAACATTTATCAATTTACATTCATACAGCAGCGAATTTTATAACATTTATTTATTTACACTCATACAGCAGCGAATTTCATAACATTTATCAATTTACACAAATACAGCTGCGAATTTTATAAAATTTATCAATTTACACACATACAGCAGCGAATTTTATAACATTTATCAATTTACATTCATACAGCAGCGAATTTTATAACATTTATTTATTTACACTCATACAGCAGCGAATTTCATAACATTTATCAACTTACACTCATACAGCAGCGAATTTTATAACATTTATCAATTTACACTCATACAGCAGCGAATTTCATAACATTTATCAATTTACTCTCATACGAATTTCATTACATTTATCAATAAACGCATACATCAGCGAATCGCATAACATTTATCAATTTACACTCAAACAGCAGCGAATTTCATAACATTTATCAATTTACACTCAAACAGCAGCGAATTTCATAACATTTATCAATTTACACTCAAACATCAGCCAATCGCATAACATTTATCAATTTACACTCAAACAGCAGCGAATTCATAACATTTATCAATTTATCAATATACTTGCTGATGTATGGTTTGTATCCAGTTTTTGCTCCAAACACTGTGGCTTCAGAATTATTGAGTTTTTTTTTCATTATTTTCAAATTAAATTTGCAAACGTATATCTTTTGTCATCAAGTTATAGAAATATTATATTGCAATTAAAGGGACAGATTTGCCATCCGTTTAATCATTTGTCGAAATTTGTTTCATGCGTGTCCAGAATTATCTGCGTTTGAAAGTTAAAATGACGACTCATCTTTTCCTGAGACTATGCCATGCATAGAAAAGACACAAATAATAAAATATTTTCACTGTTGAAATAGTGCTCTATACATTTGTAAAGCGATATAGAAAATACATAGATAGAAATAGAAAGTGAAATTCCTAGTTTTAGTTTTTTATGCTATAGTTGTACAGTAAGCCTACTTCACCCACGGAAAATGGCGAACCTATCTCTTTTAAACGGCATGTTTATGAGGTATTTCACATTTATTTCCACAAATTTGCTTTCCTTCCATACAAATATGACGTTTATTATAGTAGATCTAGTGAAGGAATAAGAAGAATAGAAAATGACTTGATGTACCTGCTTTGATGGTGAGCTGAAAAAGAAAAGATGCATGCCAATGTTTTGAAATTGTTTGGAATGTATAATTATCTTTCGTGCCTAAAACCAATACGAATGAATACAGTATAATACAAAATTTGCCCCATACCGATGTATGTAAACAAAATTGGAATGGCGGTGTATGAAGTTACTTTGTAGTGTTTTTGAACATTCGATTGATTAGAATGTCTCGTTTCATCAAACATATATAAATATGAATAATATCAGTCACAGGCCTACCCATTTAGGATCCGGGGGTGCGGCATTTGCTCAATTGTACCCCCATTTCAAATATGATATTTATACGTCCTTGCCAATTGTTGCAAATTTCCAATATTTGCTGACGTCAATATCATAGAGAATTATTCTGTTTCGTATCATTTTCAAAGAAAAATGATTCCATAATTTTAACGGCAACTCGAACAGTTTTGTTCCCATTTCGAATCCAATAATACTGACAATGTTTTTGTTTGCTTCATATGTACGGTTGGAATTTTATTTCAACCTACAGTATCTCATTTCAGATACTAACCTTTTCTCTTTCGGATAACTACAATGATGACTATGCCAAGTATTGCTAGACATAGAACTCAGCCAATTATAACCCCTGTATAAATATAATAGTTATATGATGGTGATGGTGGAACTGGGGACTGGGTAACTTGTGTTGATGACAACGTTGGAGCTGTTGTAGACGTAGATTCTACTCTCCATGTTGATGATTCTGTACCAGTTGGTGTGTGACCGCCATTGGGTGATATAATGAATGGCTGACCTGAATAAGAAGATTGTTATACCATTATTACAGCTGTTGATAAACTGGGGCATAATGTAGAAATTTCCATCTAAAAAGCAAAAACCTAGGTCCGGTGTGCTGTACATGCTATAGATCCCTAAACAATAGCCTATGGCTTGGTTGTTTTAAACCTCCGATTTCGTCAAATGTAGTGAAAGGAACTGGTTTCTATAAATGTGAAATATCCGACGAATTCGAGAAATTAGAAGATTTTGACCTTTTAATAATCTCAAGAGAAAATCATCAAATTTTGATAAAAGGGAACAAAATTACTTACGATTTTTAACAGTTAGATATATAGCGGAACTGACGGCACCATCTTTATTGATGTCACCACATGACCAATTACCAGTATGGTGGTGACCCAATGTGATATTCAGATAGAATGTAGTATTGGATTCATTAGAACAGAAACAGTCAACTGATTTGTTACTAGATTCAGTTTTTTCACAAAATCTGGCTTTTCTCAAGTACAAAGAACACAACTTTACCCCATTAAAGAAAAAACGTATTGCTGCCGGCAAACTTTCAACGGAAGGCAGAATCATTTTACAGGTCCATAATAATCCATCGCCTTCGATATCTTTATCATTATTAGTACTCAACTCAAATTGAAGGCCTGAAAAATAATATATTAGTAAGTTGTAATTTTTAACCAATCGAAGTGTGTCCTGTAGAACCTGTTCCTTGATAAAAATTAGGCATTGTGGGACACCAAAACGTATCCGCTTTTTGCCGTCTGTTTGGAGAGAAAAAAACACATTCTTTCCAAGTAAAAATTGCAATGTAAGGTTTGATTATTATCTGGGCTTCAATACTTTACCGAAAATCTTGCTAAATTCTGAACCGTACATAATCATCGAAATATGTAATGTTTATGTTCGCAAACAAAGCATAATAACGAGTGATTTGTTTTGATAAAATTTGCTACCAATACAGCAGGGCCAATTTTGATTGGACAATATTTTATTATGAATACGTAATTTCTCTCACTTTGACTACGGCCCCGAGGAAGTATGACGAATGGGTGTGTGGTTTGGACACGATGCATTGTATACGGCCTGATAAGAAACGAGTTTTACAGGACTCCTTTTTGATTGGTTAAAAAAAAGCATTATCGGGATGGGCCCTCGACCGAGAACTATTTAGATATCAATGTAGACTAAAAACAAAACAAAATAAATACGATATTGTTATCTTATTTGAGCTTGATTGAGCTACGCCAAATGTAAGTGTGAAAAATATCTTGTGCTTCGGTAAACCGATAAATCTGACTCTACCCGTCCCTTGAACGTGATAACCGACGGGTGGGGTCCGCCTAGATCTTTGTAAGCAAAAATGAAAATTTAGATCTTATCATTTACAGTGTCAAACACAAAACCCGAATCTACAAAAATCTACACTTGCAATTCTCTTGAGTAAGTGCACCAGTCAGCTGCTCTTGCATTGTCGATCATATGATGAGTATTTCGATATTTTGATTATACGTAACGAAAAATAAGGCTTTCAGGGCTGCGTTATTCGAAATGGTTCAACAAAATACTAAGTATTCCTATCTGTAGGCCTACTTAAGAACAGTTTTTAAATATCTTTCTGTTTATACTTAGCTGAGGATGAAACCAGACATCATAGCTTTTCATAACATTTTTAAATTTAATTACATTAGAATAGAATTGAGTTCGTTGAAAATCATAAAAAGGCTGCAGTAAAGCGTCATTGGTAACAAAATTATTGGTCTGATACTGGATTGTAATCTGTCCCGTCTCAAAATTCAAAAGATTTGATTGGTTGATTATAAATACTAATAGACATATATTATCCTAAATTGTATTCATATGAATCAAACAACCAAACGTAGGAAAAATGGATAAATATTTGATCAAAAAAGACAAATTGCTTGATGGTTCCGACACTACTACGACTGACAATGGTATCAAAACCACAGCGGGCAAAGCAACGGATGCAGTACCAAGATGCTCTGAAAAGACAGGAGTACCAGGTGACATTGGAAAAGAAGACGTTCCAAAGCAACCGAGAATAAAATTTCCAGCGAAGTCTGGTCGCCATTTTAGTAACAGCTGGTATGATCGATTTCCATGGCTGGAGTATTAAGTGTCAAGGGGCGCCCCTATTTGATTTCCATGTCGGGTGTTTCACAATACATCTGCGGGTGCATAAAAATTCATCACTGAGGGCTACACAGATTAGAAGCATGCTGTAGGTGATACTGGAAAGGGCCTCGAGAAGCATAACAATTGAGGTGTCAAAACAATTTATCCAAGATAACGTTGCCAAGACAGAAAATCAGGACTCCAATCTTGTTCTTCAAAAACTATACGAGCAGAAATTGGCTTTCCCTAAATTATATGCACTGGCTGCAAGCGTTGCCACATTCGGTTCTAGTACCACTGTGTGTGAAAGCAGCTTTTCAACTCTTACTCGCGTTGACTCAACACAACGAAGATATATGACTCAGCTTCGCCAGCGCAATCTTGTTCTTCTTGCCTTCAACAGGAAGTGTACCCAGAAAATTAACTTGGACGTATTTGTTCAACGTTTTGCCATAAAACATACCCGACTACGTTTAAACTAAAACGGCAATACAAATGTAACGTAATATAACTTGTGTGTTTTAACAAAAATAATCTCGAATCTAATATACTCCATGAAAGTCCCCCCCCCCCCCCCCCTCGATTGCACGTTTGGTTAGGTTAATATTGGTTAATGACATTCTTGCCACGATGCTTTGGCCTTTAAAAATATTAAGATAAAACTTTCCATACCCGATAAAAATATGATTAAATCAACGAATACTATAACACAAATCTCTAAAATTATATCCAATTTTACCATTTTGATAAATTACAAGTGTTTTATGTATGAATTATTGAAATGGAAATATTTGTTTATGAAATCATTTCCGTCCTTATTCTTTAAAGATATACCACCTCAAAATGAGTCATGAGTCATAAGTTATCGGGTGTCATAACTATACAACAGAATTCCTCTATAATCCAATTTATTTGTGACCATATTGTCATATCCAATAATATTGTGACTGTGACAAAATGACTACAAATTTATCTTGTGACCATATTACTGTTATCAATTGTCTTTGCGAACAAATCTGTGACCTATTTACGTAGTGAATCTTTCTTCCGAGTGACCAATTCACTGACCGAATTTCCGTTGATGGTCTTTCCAATGTCGCTTCCACAGCCGAGAAAGACGGTTAGCCCGGCTTAGTCCCCCACCACCCTCCTCTCTCCCCACTTTAAAATTTGTATAACATCACGACGATCAAGTAGAATGTCTGAATCATTTTTCCTGTAATAAATCAGGATGGGGATGTTGTGAACTATACAGATAACAGAGAGAACGGAAATAACGCTGCTGTTATAACCTTATCATTATTCAACCTTTTTACATCCTTATTAAATCTCTGACGTGTGTGACTTCGGTTTTTCCGCTCGTCCAACATTGACTATCTTACTTGTATTACTTGCATTATGATAAATATTTACTCCCATCAGTTTTGCTGTATCTCAATCCAATGGACTTCCCTTGCTTGGCGGAATTTCAAAGTTTCATACTCCTGCCAGGTCAATTATTATGCGCTTAATGGAGTTAGAATGAGATCGTCCGATAAATGGTTGATATGATTAGCAACAGACTTGTCTTCTTTTTTCTTTCATTTGACATCTTATCTGTTTGGCGTTAAACGAATGCGTAAAATATTTTAAGTTTCTCCTACATATTGTTTGGCACATTTCTAACATGATATTAAGTAAATCAAATTCCAGTTTTCACATATTAGATGCTCTTGGGTACCTTTTTTCAGTAGAATTAATCATAAAATAGTGAGTTTCTGATATAAAGGAACACGTTTTACATCTATTATTTAGATATTTCGAAGAATAGACAAAGGGATAAGACTTCATGTTTCCATTCTGCCATGAAAAGCTTGGCATATGAAGTTGCGAAACGCTTGCATATATCAGTCCCTGAAGTTTGCATCACCGTAACTTTCGTTTTATCACTTGAACCCTTGAACTTTTGGCTGCGCACGCAGTTTTAAATGGCCAATGAGAATTTTTTTTGATGGAAACGCAGTCGTGACTTAACATAGACAGTGTATGGTATAACGGATCTACAAAAATATCTTTCTGAATATATCTGGATTGGGCGAATCCGATTTAAATAACTTCGGAGTTGCGGAAATCCCCACAAAACAGGACCTAATATCTACTCTAGCCTACAACTTTTAAAAACAGCTATCAAAGAGGCAGATGTTTCGGTCTATAGGTTTACAATTATATAACATTTCTATGTTTTAAAGAGGAAATAAATTAGAGCCTTACAATAAAATATCACACACTAGTAGACCAAATATATGAGAAGATAAGATCGTCTTGTTGAATATTATTCAATAACATGGAGTTTAAATATATATTGATATTAATAGTTATAGTTTATTTACCAGTACTAATTACAGGTAAGTTACATTATAACGACATTTTTGTTTTTATATTTTCTTTGATTTATATGATTTAATTATTCAATCTGGCATGTATGAAGGTCTTGTAAGATTCATCAGCTGATATCTGGCTCATCTCTGTAATATTTGGGATGTATTTGCATACATAACTTGCCCTCAAGAAAAAAGTATGTACACTGGTAGCTTTGTTTCCAATTAGAAATAGAAAATAAACTTTAATTTGTTCAGAATTGTAATTTGACAGATGGGAAGCCAACCAGGTGGTATGTAAGCTCTACGTTACAATTTACCAATATACATAAGCATACTGGGTTACCAAGGCAGGTTTGAACAGACAGGTCACCGGTTGGATTGAACTTAAAATTTAAATGATCAAAAGGTCAATAAGAGTATATTTATTCATCAGTGGACTTACCTGGTGTCATAACCAATTAACAGAATCCCCGTTTGATCCAATGAAAAGCAATATAACTTAGTAATTATCCATAAACGCTAATAATATAAAACGCTTAATTTTTTCTGAATAGCAAAGATTTTTAAGCAAAATTTTACACTTTTTGGGTTGAAAATTCTTGGAGGGAAATATTTGTCTTTATGAATTCTTAATCTTATGAACAATTATATTTTAATCAGCTCAAAGACATTCTAAGACTAACAGTATTATTTTGAGACTGATAATCTTAAATTTAAAAAAGGTTAGAAAACCTCTTTACAATCTCTTTAACGTGTAGTCAATGTTCAAGTTCGTTGTCACAGCGGGACAACTTTCGATGACACTATTTAAGGTGTTTTGTTGTGGAAAGAAGTATTATTTCTAGTAAATGAACACTTGAATATATATAGATATGAGTAATGATACACACGAAGCCAGTGGCGGACCTAGGTTTATGTCCGAGAGGGGGCGAGATATCTAAGATTGCATGAATCTCTAACCTAGTTATGAGATTTTTGCCCAAAGTTGCCACCTCTGCCCCACCTTTGGCTCCGCCTCTGCACGGTGCGGAGTAATGGTTAACAATTAAGATGTATAATTGGACAAAATTAGCACTTAATTATTAAGCGGGACATAATGCGACATTTAGTGTTCTGAAGAATACGTTATATTTGCTTCAGGTGTAACCAACGGATTACAGTAATTTAAATGCGAACGAGGTGTACACACTTTATATAGTATATTCTAACACCAAATATAGTGTGAAATGGGTGTTACTCTTTCTTTTTGGAGTTAAGTGTATATCATTACAATTCAAAAGGTGTAAAAAAAGAAAAAAACACAATTAAAAGTGTTAACTATACAGTTTTTACAAATTTGAAAATATTATTTGTCCAAAAAATATGTATTAGAATGCATCTAGTCAATTCTATTTTTCAAAAATATCTTTGAAGACCCGTTTCAGACGATCCATTGGCGTCTGAGCGATTCCGAAGAGCTGTGGTATTTGGATTCCTAATCCCAAAAGTTGCACACCCCCCCCCCCCCCCCATTTAGTAAGTGCACCCCCTATTTGTACCCCCAGCCTCCGAAGGCTGACGCCGCCAATGATATTAAGTTGTTGTTTGAGTTATTGCCCTTGATTTAACCAAATTATAGCTCTTCGTTTATCATATTGGTTCTATTTGAAGACAAAATAATGCAAAACTATTTTTGCAGATGACAGTTGAGATTTTTCTAATATTATACTTTTTTTTAATAAACAACATCACCAGCTCTGTTTTAATCTAATTAGTATTCGATTACAATTTCGTATCTTTTTTAATTTCATTGTAATCTACGAAGTTTTCTACCAAAAGCCTGCCTCAATGGCAGTACGTGTATTTCAAACCTATCAAAGCGTGTCACGTTAAACCCGAATCTTGATAAAATAAGGAATTGTGGGATAACGAAACCCAAAGATGCTGTCATATTGCTCTAGTTAAGGATTAAAAATATCAGAAAATAAAAAAAAAGATGAGAAATTTTCATCTAATTTCAATAAGACTGGCTCTGTTTTAAATATTATTTCAATATTTTACTTATATCTTTTTACAGGAAAATATACTATAAGAGGAGTTCCTGAAAGTTATGCAGTGTTAGGTGAAAATTATAGATTAGAATGTAATGTTACAGATTCACCTATACATGTAATATTCTGTACAGGAACGATTGGTTTATGTGATATGATAAACTGTGGGAGTAGTTCAACAGATAATAGATATAAATGTGGATGTATAAATAATAACAACAAACAACTATATCTCAATATAAGTAATATAAATAAACAAGATGATACAACATGGTTTTGTAGAGGTTATAATGGTGGACAAGGAGTAACTACTATATCCGTTTATTGTAAGTTTGATTTAATTGCAACTTTTTACCGAATATTTACACAATGTACAAGTAAAATTATTTTGCTTTACCTTCTGATAGACATACATTGAAACAACTTACTGGTGTCACTTCCAATTTGCCTGCATATTAAAAAAAAGGTTAGTGTAGGAAATGACGTCATAATTAAGTAGGGGCTAGTGTAGGTAATTCCGTCATAATAAACTAGGGGCTAGTGTAGGTAATGATGTCATAATTAACTAGGGGCTAGTGTAGGTAATGACGTCATAATTAACTAGAGGCTAGTGTAGGTAATTACGTCATAATAAACTAGGGGCTAGTGTAGGTAATGATGTCATAATAAATACTCAGTCTAATTAAAATTATACCTAACTTCCGTTCGCATTTTATTAGTTTCGTTTCGAATGTTTTATTACCTTTGTACGTAACCTTTACAGTAAGGTTTAACACTGTCCTTCTTGACTTTTCATTCTGTTAACCTTTGCTTGACCTGTTTTTATTAGACTAACTTATCAAGTTCGCTGGTCTAATACGCCTCGGAATGCGTCACATTATCCCAAGAAGCACATTTTTAGACCTTACTGTAATGGTTACGGACAAAGGTAATAGCTAATAAAACATTCGAAACGAAACTAATAAAATACGAATGGAAGTTAGGTCTAATTTTAATTAGACTGATAAACACTATATGTATATGTTAAAAAATCATGTACTACTGTGTTTCAGATCCACAAGATATAACCAGTATAACATCTGATGCTGTAAATAACGAAGCTGATGAAGGATCTGATGTTATATTTAACTGTAATGTTAATAGTAAACCAGTATCTACTATAACCTGGTCATCTTCTACTAGTACTGATACTAACACTGGTCAAGACTGGACATTAACTCAAGCTAAATGTCAAGATACAGGAATCTATACATGTACAGCTAATAATGGTATTGGTCTACCAACTACTAAATCTTTACCATTAAATATTAGATGTAAGTATATATTTAGTCAGTATACTATAATCTATACATGTACAGCTAATAATGGTTTTGGTCAGTCAGTCAGTCAGTCAGTAATTTAATCAGGAGGTTTTGTTTTAGGTTCACCAAGAATTGAAGGCAATTTAAAAGATGTAGTAATAAGTAGAACAAGTGAAGAAGTAACATTAAGTATTGATGTTATGGCCTATCCTAAACCTAGTTTTAAATGGATACAAGAATCAACAGGACTAGAATTAACACCAGATACAACTCAACAAGTAGCTACCAATAATTATATTTCAAGTTTAACAGTCACAATACAACAATCTTCATTTGATAACTACATTGTAACTGTTAATAATAGTATAGGTGGTGATAAAAGTTATACTATAAAGATTATTGATGGTGGTAAGTTTAATTTAGGTCTAAGGCAGATCTATGAATACCAAAGTTAGATACTTGTGCATAACTGTATGTTTGAATTATGCATATGCTGCCAAATTGACTACATTTAGTTTTATTTCGAGATCATTATTATCAGTTGGTTGTTGAAGTTGCTGTTGACATAAATGGAAATTACTTTTAAAAAGTTGACCATGTATAAAAAAAAATTACATATTTAAATATATAAGCACCCTTTCGAGTCAGTTGCTTTGAGTAGAACTACATGTTACAGCGATTTGCTATGTTTTTATCAAAATATTGCAAATGCTTAAAGGGATTGTAAAGACGTTTTCTAAAACATTTTTATGTGTATCGGGGACACTGATAGCACCAATTTGCACCTTTCCAATTTTTCAATTCATCAAGACGTCAGATTGTGCAAATTGATACCATCAGTATTCCAGATACATATAAAAAAAACTTCACAATCCCAATTACAAATATGACAGATCCTGCCGTACTTTAAATAAGTCCAATACCTGTTATATTACAGATTCCTCCAAACCTGAACCACCATCAGAATTAAATATACCTGCTATTGTTGGGGAAATAGTAGCTGCAGTTGTTGTTATAATAATTATTATTGTGGTTGTAATTTTAATTAAAAGACGTAAGTAGAATTTGGTAACTACATTGTAACTGTTATTAATGGTATAGGTGATGATAAAAGTTACTCTACAAAGATTGTTGATGGTGGTAAGATACTAAATAGCCGAATTCATTTTATCAGTTGGATGAATTGAGTAGATTTATCACATACAATCAGAGACTGTATATATGTATTGGGTAGATTTTATCAAATGGATATGATAATTAGATTTATCAGAAATGAACACATTGAGTATATTTGTCAGTTGGATGAATTGAGTAGGTTTATCACATATAATGTAATATACAATCAATCAGAGACTGTATATATGTATTGGGTAGATTTAATCAAATGGATATATTAATTAAATTTATCAAAAATGAATATTATTGGGTAAATTTATCAGTGAAATGTATTGAGTAAATTTATCAGTTGAATGTATTGAGTATATTTATCAGTTGAATGTATTGAGTATATTTATCAGTTGAATGTATTGAGTATATTTATCAGTTGAACGTATTTAGTAAATATATCAGTTGTATATATTGAGTAAATTTATCAGTTGGATATATTGAGTGAATTATTAGTTGAATGCATTAAGTAAATATATCAGTTTAAAGTATTGAGTAAATTATCAGTGGCATGAATTGAGTAAATTATCTGTTGAACGTATTACATTATTATTAATTTTGTACCGCATAAGAATCTTACTACCCATTTCCAGAAATTCATCAGAAACTGGTGTAGCAGTTACTATCGCTTATTAAATTTATTCAGTGCACTTATTTCAAATATTATGACTCGTATATTGTCGTTGCCCCTGTCCGTCGGTCCGTAGGTCCGTCAACATTTCTTGTGGGCACAATAGAGACTACAGTTTTAATTTCTTTGTAATGAAACTTGGTGTGAGCATCGGGATTGACAAGATAACGGCCAAGTTCGAATTTGATGATTTTTCGGTGAACAGTTTTGGACTTATGACCCTTGACTTAGAAAAAATCGCATCAAAATTTTGTAATGGGCACAATAGAAGCTACAATTTTCAATGGATTTTGATGAAACTTGGTGTAAGCATTGGGATTGATAAGATGGTGGTCAAGTTCAAATTTGACGATTTTTCTATGAACATAATTGGGGGTACAGATTTTATCTGACAGTAATGAACCTTGGTATGCATATATATATTGGTAACATCACGGTCAAGTATGAATTTGACTCATTTTGTAAGAAAGGTTTTTGAGTTATTGCACTTGACGTAGTAAAAATGCACCAAATTTGACTTGTAAACAGAATGGGCGCTACAGTTTTTATCGGATCTTGATGAAACTTGGTATGCAGGTATATATTGATAAGATCTCAGTACAGTTCAAATTTGTCTATGTAGATGATACCTTATTATATATCTTTGAAAATTTCAGACACGACAGGAGTGTGATAATTTAATGCTTCTGGGTTATTGCTATTGATTTAAAAAGATTTGTGGAAAAACTCAATATAACTGACCCTAAATTGATGAGATATTCAGGGTTTTAAACTACAAATGCATAATGAAGATCTAATGAAGAAATTTCGTATTATTATGAAGATCTTTAATATACTTTTGGTCAATAAAGATTTAGTTATCTTCTCTGACAGCTGCCAGTGGGCGTATGTTACCTTGCCTGACAAGCTATCTTTAATTTTACACATGGCAATATCAATAATGCCCTGGTATATTTTAATTCCTGTCAACTGGTATAACAAATTCTTATACTACTGTGATATAAACTGAATCTCTTATTATATTATTTTACTTTGTAGGCAAGAAGAAATCACCAGAAGAAAGGTGGGTTAAACTTTCTTTTTGAGTTAAAAACATTGTAAAATAAAATATATAAATCGATGGGGAAAATAAACATTGTCAATCTATTCTGAATCAATGATATGATATTACTCTGTTAAAAAATTTGACGTCATTATAAAGTAACGATAATCAAGTTCATTTACAATCTCAATTGTAAACAGTAAAGATAAACAAAAACGACAGATATTTTCACTTCCTAAAAGTTCTAATGACTTATTATACTTATGACATCATCTTACTTTTCAGTTATGCAACGTTTACTAACAGAAATCAAGCAGGTAATTTTACATTTAATACCATACTGGTTTTACACTACAAATAAACATACATCAAAAAGTTGAAATATTCATAATTATGTTATAATGACGGCACGATAGCTTCTTTCTACCTGCTAGTGCTTGAACCAAACCAAAACCAAGATCTGATTTCCACTTTTTACACGCGCATCGATAGTAAGTAATAATATATAAAATTATTGACTTAAAAAAAATGATATAAGGTCCACTAAGGCTCACCTACTTTATGGAAACTTTCGAGAGTCGTCGAGTGCCGATACCCTGAGATTGTGATATTCAATACTGCTTCCCCTTTAACTTACTGTAATTTCTTCCTTTCAGGTTATAGAGGTTTAAATACTCGTCCTGCAGTTTATGAGAACGTTCTACAAAATTCTGAAGAATATGTAAATATGACAAGAAATTAAATATAACAGACTATAATATCCGGTACAGAACTAGTAATATTCAATACTAACACATTAAATATAACAGACTGAAATATCCGGTACAGAACTAGTAATATTCAATACTAACACATTAAATATAACAGACTGTAATATCTGATACAGTACTAGTAATATTCAATACTAACACATTAAATATAACAGACTGTAATATCTGATACAGTAATAGTAATATTCAATACTAACACATTAAATATAACAGACTGTAATATCTGATACAGTACTAGTAATATTCAATACTAACACATTAAATATAACAGACTGTAATATCTGATACAGTACTAGTAATATTCAATACTAACACATTAAATATAACAGACTGTAATATCTGATACAGTACTAGTAATATCCAATACTAACACATTAACTATAACAGACTGTAATATCTGATACAGTACTAGTAATATTCAATACTAACACATTAAATATAACAGACTGTAATATCTGATACAGTACTAGTAATATTCAATACTAACACATTAACTATAACAGACTGTAATATCTGATACAGTACTAGTAATATTCAATACTAACACATTAAATATAACAGACTGTAATATCTGATACAGTACTAGTAATATTCAATACTAACACATTAAATATAACAGACTGTAATATCTGATACAGTACTAGTAATATTCAATACTAACAAATTAAATATAACAGACTGTAATATCCGATACAGTACTAGTAATATTCAATACTAACACATTTAGATGCGCGAAACAGATCAATTTCCCCTTTGCCATCTTCATATATCAAAACCTCCGTATAATTACTTGGTACGGACTGGCCTGACACCTCTACTGAAATTTTCCAAACTGTTCATATATTTTTTGAATTTTCGAAGAGATTCTGATAAAACAGTTCATTTCATAAAATTGTTTTCCAACTGAGTTCTTTTCAACAAACTTTTCATTTTTAATAACATAATATTTCGAATATTGGTTATTGTGTGTGTAGCAAGTTGTATATACTGTACATACGTTTGTATTTTAATTGAGTTGCTATCTTTCTATATATTATTTATAGTTACAATTATCTTTAATGGAGAGGGGTAATATAGGCAAAGCCTGTTCCTCAATCCATTTCATAATGTATATCTATATATTTGTTAATGAAATATTGTTTTAAAAAAAACTATTTAGAAAAAAAACGATTGGTAAGAAATATTGTCATCTGTCCCTTTAATTGAAAATTCAACCGTTCAACTGAAACAACATTTAACAATAACAATAACACGTGTGTTATATGAACTATACCAAATCCCTAAAAATCCGAGTGAAACCACGTAATCAGCATGCACAAGTTTAAGTATTATATTATCTCATATAGGACTCACTAGAATTTCTAGAAAATATTGATAGAAAGTTGAATTTCGTGATTTAACATGATAAGAGATGGCAGATATTTAAGTAGTGTATAATGTGTTTAGAATACCACGAGATTTCTACCACGTGTTTTGTGATTAAGTGCACGAAATATATTTGTCAGTCTACCAGTTTGTTTCGATCTGTAAAGATCATAAAAAAGCATTCAGTCATTGTTTACGAAGTATGTATTTATAAATTCCTTTATATGTCAGAGTCTAACTCTGAGGGGAGCATTGCATTGGTTCGGACACAGATTTACAGAGGATTTTTCAATCATTGTATTTTTATACGCCCACATTATAATGCGATCGTATATTGTCGTTGCCCCTGTCCGTCGGTCCGTCCGTCCGTCCGTCCGTCCACAATTGGCTTGTGAACGCAATAGAGACTACAGTTTTTATGTGATTTTAATGAAATTTGGTGTGATCATTTATATTGATGAGATCTTGGACAAGTTCGAATTTGACATTTTTTTTAATTCGAGTTATTTTCCTTGACTTGTTGGCTTGTTAACGCGATAGAGGTGACAGTTTATGTCAGAATTTTATTAAATAATGTGTGTTTGTTTAAATCAACAATATCTTGCACAAATTAGTTTTTGGTATGATTTGACACAGATAGGTGACTGCCCTTGATATACTGATAATGTATCAGGAAAGTGGGCGTATCTTGCTAGGAAACCTTTTATCTCTGGTTGTCCTGTCCTTCGTTTTTGAAGGAAATGGAGAACTCATAATCAGCCGATAAGGAATTTATGTAATATAGGTATATTGTACCCTTTGTAACATAATTTATATTTACCTTTTGTAGTTAATTTCATTGATGTAATAAATTCTCTTGTAATCACTATTATAGTCAGAAATAAACTGCTCTGTAAACAAACTGATTGTCAGAAAATTAAAGCATTGTTTCAATTTAGCTCAGAAACGCTCAGAACTTCCAAAAGTAAAAGAGATACGAAATCGCAGTTTGTGGCATTGGAAAGATAACGTTTAAAGTTGGTGTGTTAATTTCACCATTCTACCTAAACTGGTTTGACCGTGGTGAAGCAAAATTTGGGTTTTCCAAAAAGGAGAAAATTGGTGAAATACCACAGGTAGCTACTTTATGGTCAATCCATTTTTTGGTAGAAAATGTTTGGACTGGGTGCTTCCCTAAGAGTTGCCCAATCTGCATAGAAGTAGATTCTGAGCATTTTTATCTGCTTAAAAAGTGCCCAAAAGTCTAGATTTTCATTACAGAAACGCCCTCAAAGAGGAACGAAAAAAATAAGACCCAATCTGCTCAGTTTGTCATCTCTAGTTTTTCGCAAAATTTTAGATAACAAGTTTGAATCATATTTCGGACCTCCTTCGACCCAGGATTCTGCATTTCAATTGGTTACAAAGTTACAGCTCTTCAAACTTCAAACTTTGAGTTTTATTTAGAGAAAAAAGACCCAATTTGCTCAGTTTTTGGCCAAAATATAGGAATCCAATGTATGCACCACCCTTGTCACTTATTAAGTGCCATGTTTGAAGATTTTTTAGCAACAAAATCTATTATATAAATAGATGGAACATCCAATGTTTTTCGTAGAATGTTGATACCAGTGTAGTGTACCTACCCGTAGGAAAAATAGATGTAAACACATGCATATAAACAGGGCTTCAAATAGTATGCTGTATAAGCACGTCTTATTAAAGTTTGGAATTGAAAGAAAAGAATATATTTCGAGTTTCTTTTCATTTGGGTCTCAAAAGTTCATGCAACTTGCTAGTTTTAATCTGTTAAACCATTACTTTTGGATGTGACAGAAAAAAAAACCGGACGTAGGAGAATTCAATTGACGGCGATCCCGGGTTTTCGAAGACATTTATCCCTATGATGTCATACGAGTTTTCTCCAACATTTTCACTGGAACCTCTGTCTTGAATATTTCCAATCCATTTCCGGAAAATATCAGTAATCCTGAATACACTACTCGTTCCTCGTTGGGCCAAGATATTATTATCATTCACGGAAAATACCAAATATTCCCTAATACAATCAGAACACAGTTAATATCACTTCGACATACTTAATCAGAGTTATTTACCTTTAGTTATTGAATCGTACTGCTATACATTTGTATATTTTAAACATGTCGTGCGTAAAACACAATATTTCTTGTATTTCTAAAGTTATACGAGTTAGGACAAAACTTATATTTTGACGTTAAACTCCTTAGTTATGAAAGCATTTCGGCTTTCTGTGCACGCCTGAAAGAAATATTTTCTTTTAAAAGGACGAGAACTTAAAATAAAAAGATCTTCAGATGTGCATAGAAGTCCATTCTGGGCACTTTTTTGTGGAAAAGTAAGCTAGTGTAGATGTCTAATGTCTTTGTAAAATTCCACTTAGTGCACAATTCATTAAAAATGCCGGTCTTTATTAATCTATTCAGGCGCAGAAAATTTGACTTACAGCCGAGACCAGATATTTATTCCGTCAACGCCCTTTTTAGCAAGCTTCCTTCCCCCCTCCCAGTCAACAGTCAGAAACACTTTTCACTCATTCATTCAGTTATTTACTCGTCTAAAAGCTTGCCAAGTTTATATTGAGCGCGTTTGAATCGAGAGATGGAAATCATGACAATTCAATACTTCTACATTCCTTCTTTACAGCGAGATGTAATGCCATTTCTCGGAAGTTGATAAATCATTTAAATATATTATTCAAAGTCTTGCCTGTATTTAGTTTCATAATATAAAACTACTACAATGTTGCGTCGCGTTACTTTATAGATAGTACGGGAAGCCAAACCTAAAATCTAAGACTAGATCTTAAAAAATACACCAAAATTTTGAAATTTTTTGAGCTGTTGGCTACTTAGTTTTCGAAAGTTGACCAGGCAAGGTTGTTTTTCAGAAGTATTCTTTAACTTTGACTGGAAAGTGATAAATATATTGCTTGACATGGATTATTCATTGTTACTGACCACAATAATATTGAGATTACCCCCCTTTGACCACATGTAAATTCTATTGTGTCATGCTTGATTATAAAATGGATGCTGAAAGCGAAAGGAATATTATTACAGAATGATGTGAATTGAACGTTATAAAAACAAGTTTTAAAGAAATCAAGGTAATCAAAACTTGTCTGAACCGAATTGAGACTTGGATCCGAAAAATCGATCTCTTCCTATTTGTTTTCATCCAATATTATGAAATATTCAGTAATATTTTCAATTTCATAATATCATAGTCCGAAACTTTCTATACTGTCTCCTGTTGATTTCTTTCAACCTTATTCATTCATCCATTTATTTGGGGATAATTAATATATTCATCCATTCATTCACTCATTCATTCATTCATTCATTCATATTTGATTTATTTCTTTAATCACTCATTCGGGATTTTAAGAAATATGTGTCGGCAGAATGGGATGACTGAATTTCTATTGAGTCGAGTTTGGTTTTAATTTCATAAAACGTAATAGGATTAATCCGAAAGATTCTGACCTTTTTCGCCCTTATTTCCTTCATTCATTTAAAGAATATATTTTTTCACTCTATCTACCATTTTCTTTATTCGTTCGTTCATTTATTCTTTCATGCGTTTG